ACCGGCCATCCCTAGATAGGATCCGAACCTGCGGCCACAGTGCTCCCAGCGCCGCACTCTCCCGAGTGAGCCACAGGGTCAGCCCTGCAGTTAAATTTTAATGAAGATACAGGGCTTCTTAAGCTGGATAGGATCCGAACCTGCGGCCACGGTGCTCCCAGCGCCGCACTCTCCCAAGTGAGCCACAGGGTCAGCCCTGCAGTTAAATTTTAATGAAGATACAGGGCTTCTTAAGCTGTGTTTTTCCTAAGTTTCAAAATGCAGCGTCAGGAATGTATTTGGGATGACATCCAAACATAGGCACAACAGTCTAACTTAAGTTAGACTAACTTGGGAAGTGATAATCTTGCCAAGAAATGTATTAAGCTAAATCTAATCCTAAGGAAAGATCAGACAAACCCAAACTGAGGGAAATTCTACAGAATAACTAGCCTATAATATTTGGACTGTCTAGATCATGAAAGTCAAGAAAAGACGGGAGAGTTGTTTCCAAATGAAAGAGACTAAGAGACATGACAACTAAATGCAACATGCACAGTTGGTTCTCCATATCAGAAGGTTCCCACAGATTCAACCAACTGCAGATCTAAAATATTAGAGGAAAAAATAAAAATAAAAGATAACAATACAGCAATTAAAAAATATAAATAAAAATACAGTATAACAACTGTTTACATAGCAGAGACTGTCCCTGTTTGTCGGAAATACACAATGGTGCTGGGGCATAACATTGGCAGTTTACTGTCAAATAGTTGAGGAAAAAAAGCTCTTTGAACTGTCCTTGAAACTTTTCTTTGAACTAGAAATTGTTCCGAAAAAAATAAAAATTAAACACAAGGGGATTTATTCATAAACTAGATTTAGAGTTTCTCACATTTCAAATTCCAGTTAACTACTGGAAGATAACACCAATTTCAGAAATTTCAACTAATGCTTCCAAGATTTATAACAAGCTAGTTTCCTGCTAAAAATTGCCATGTGGACTCTGCCAGTATAGGCTTTTATGTTGTATAATTAAGTAGAACTTGTGCAGAGACCTTCCTCACAAAGGATCGCAAAAGACTTCATAATTCTATTAATTTGATTACTTTCAATATGCTTTGTGCTATACTTTTTTATGCATATGTACAAAAAACTGAGTACTATATTCTAAATTCTTTATTGAGGGTAGAAATGCATTCTGTTCACTTCATTTAAAATATTTACTAAAAGCCATGTGCTATGCACTGTGCTGGGAAGAATACAAAGATATTCCCTATGACCTTAATTAAGTTACCACCAAATAAAACAAAAACACATACAAGATACAAAGCAGACAAAGTTGTTAAACAGGAGAAAACAGTGTCAGACAATGCTTCTTCCTGTAAAGGAGTAAAACAAAAACATCTCAAAGCATATTTATTGAAAGAACAGTCTCCCTGGAACCCCACCGGACTACTGAACTGGTTCAGAGAGATTTTTCCTCATATTTCTCTTTGCACAATTTAAAAGATTGTTAACCTAAATATGTTCTCACATCAAATAAAGTTTTAAACTATAAACAATGGTGGCAATTACAACAAATAAACAAATGGACTGTTCTTCAAGATCTAAGCCTGGATACGTACCTATGACTAATTTAGTGTAAAGGAGAGAACTCTGAAATGGTTTCTTTTTTCTTTCTTTCTTTTTTTTTTTTTTTTCCTTTTTTGGCTTTTTTACTGACCGGTAACGGGATCACGTACCTATGACTAATTTAGTGTAAAGGAGAGAACTCTGAAATGGTTTCTTTTTTCTTTCTTTTTTTTTTTTTTTTCCTTTTTTGGCTTTTTTACTGACCGGTAACGGGATCACAACCCTCGGTGTTGCGCCCACACCGCGCTCAGCCAGTGAGTGGGAACCGGTCTCCACATGGGATCCGAACCCTCGGCGGGAGCGCCACCACGCTCCCAAGCGGCGCACTCTCCAGTGCGCCACCGGGCCAGCCCTGAAATGGTTTCTACTTGAAGAAAACTAATAGTAGGATCAGGCCTAGGAATATTCCTGTACCTAGAAGTCTCCATATTCAGTCCAAACTGCCATAATCTTGGGCTGCTTTAAGAATGATACAGGACTGGCCCCTTAGCTCAGCCTTATAACAGCAAGGTCACAGGTTCGGATCCCATAAAGACCAGCTGCCCCCCCCCAAAAAAGAGAGAAGACTGATAAGACAGAGAAGAGAGAAATTGATACAAACTCAATTAATTCAATTAAAGGCCTCAAAATCTATGAATATGTAAGTTTAAATTTAGGTTAAACTAAAAAGATAACAAAGACTTCTAGTTAATATCTCAATTTAAGTTCAGAAAAAAGCCCCTCCACATCAAGATACTTCACCCCATACTTAAACCAACAGTTTACCACGCCACAAGAAAAACATAAATGGAACCAGAAAAGAAAACTGTAATTAGCTATGAGAAACATTAAAATAAGGAGCTTGGCTACTTTTTGGAAACAGCAGCGCCTGACAGTATTTCGCAGACCTTAAACTGGAATTCTCCACATAACTGTAATCATTCCATCACAAGTTACAACTCTGTTCTTAAGCATGTTTTAACTTTTTCTTCAGTGTCCCCTCTATCCCTCTAGTAGGAATGGAAGATTGTATCCACTCAGTACAATGTGCACCCTTGGTGCCAGCTACTTCTTCCTGTAGTATGTATCTGCTTTACCTGGAATTTTAGAAACAACTTAATTGTAGGATCTTTCCTATAATGAGCAGAGGTAAGAGACTTACACCTTAACATCTTAAACGAGGCTTTTGGATCATCAAGTTATTCACCAGAATAACGACCTAAAATCTAGCCCTCGATTCCTAGTCCTGATATTTATCTAACAGCAACTGGGAGTTTTTCCATCGAGAAGCAAGGCGTTTGCAAAATAGGATTCTTGTTGACTGTTAATAAAAGTTATGTTACTATAATAATTAATTGTGATTTTCTCAGGATTTTAGATTTTTACTCGTGTCATATATAATGTAAACAGTCACTAGAAAACTGATGGGAAAAAAAAGAGTGAAAAACTTCTTAGAGGTAAAAAATTATACGACCATATACAACGTTGACAGATTTTAACTTAAGTTTTTTCCTTAGAAGAATCTTCTAAGCCATATTCATTCAAATATTTGGTAATCATGAGTTCATCCTCCCCTGCAAAAATATTACTAAATAAACAGATTAATGTTTAACGGCAGCCCCTTTTAGGAGTCGCAATGCTTTAACACTGTCGCAATTTATCCCCTTGAAGTGCGATTTGTATGTCATCTTTTTTTGCATTCCCCACTACTACTGATTTTTAAAAAACCATCTCCTCAGATATTTCCCTCTCGCTTTTCCTCCCTTAGCTGCTCCTCCAATTTGTAGAATGCTAACCTCTGTTACACAGTAAATATGAAAACGAATCTTTGTATTTATTGAAGCTTCTGTATCTTTAAGTAAACTGTACTATTTCCCTCTCGCTTTTCCTCCCTTAGCTGCTCCTCCAATTTGTAGAATGCTAACCTCTGTTACATAGTAAATATGAAAACGAATCTTTGTATTTATTGAAGCTTCTGTATCTTTAAGTAAACTGTACTTAAACTGTTTCCCAGCACCTGGCACAATGCCTCGTCTTAATTCCTTGCATGTAGCGAAGTACTTTAGAGTTATAGATAAAGACATTGTATATTTTGGAAACATGCCGGTCCTTGAAAAATCATTTTTCTTAAAACTGTTTGCAATGACAGCACAGACACTGACGAAGGCATAATACTCGTGATTCCCATAATAATTAATTTTACACAGTCAGAATCGCCGTAAGGTAAGGGTAATCAGATAGTTACTATTTAGCTTTAACTTTAAAAAATAAATTATTATAACACTATTTAAGGGGATAGAGCGTAAAGGAGCTGCTTATTTGTCACTGCGACCTAAGCAGGACACCAGAAACTTAAGGAAAAACAACCCCACGCGAAAGCTAAGTTTTGCAGTGCTCGTCCCTCTCCCCTCACTCCTGAAGTCTCCAGGGCCCAAGTCCGCGCAATCGTCCGCATTTCCATCCCGCCCAAGATACACAGCGGCGACCTCGGGTGCAAGCACCCCAGCTCTGCCCCCTGCTTCCCCACCCCTGCACTCTCCCAGGCTCCCGATCCTCCATGAACCCCAAGAAGTCGCCTCCCTTTGCTGGCCACAAAGCGAGCCACGAAGGGGCCCCGACCCTTCCCCTCCGCCAGCTCCCCTCCGGCCACCCTTCTGTCCCGCCCCCAACGGTTCTCAGGCCCGCATCTCACCTCTCCACCCACTCCCTCAGGAAGCGCATTTCCTCGCTGTGCAGAACGCTCGGATCCTGCTTACACAAGTTCACGAAGGCCCGAAGCTCGCTCACTTTCCGGGGATCCATGGTGGGGAGGCAGCGGGAGGCGGAGGGCGCGGCTGAGGCTGCGGCTCGGTTCCAGGCCCGGGCGCTGGCTCAGCGTGAGCGCGTACGAGGGGGCGGCTGCCGCAGGGCAGAACAGACTGGAACCTCCCCGGCCGCTGGCTCCTCCCATCCAACGGCCTCGTGATCCTGGGTCCTTCGCTTGCTTAGTCCGCCTCCCTCTATTTCTGCCCCTGCGCGCTGCCTAGAACCTTCTAGAAGGGTGGCTGTTCATGATGTTGCCTGCCTCTCTATGCACACGTTCTTATATTCTTAACTGTAAACTAGTTCCATGGATGGGTCAACCCCCTACATGGCCGCCTTCAACGAGGCGGGAGATAGCTCCTCCAGGGAGCCATTTAGAACCAGTCATTCTGTGAACCGAGACATTAAACGGAGAACGACACCCCGACCAAAATAAGAGCGCCAGGCCTAAGCCGCGGGCGGAGCGCTCGCCATGACGTAAGTAGTCTGCGCCGCCGCGAGAGGAAAGCCCGCGAGCAGCGCCCCCGGAAGGGGAGGGGTATCGGCCCGGTTTCCTGGCGACGCGATCCTGTTGGCGGCGGCTTGCCCGGAAGTTTGCCTCTTTCTTTTGCTGACGCGTGAGCTAGGCAGTCATGCCTTGGCTGCTCTCAGCCACCAAGCTGGTTCCTGCCGTAGCAAGTGCCCGCGGCCTCTCAGGTTAGACTTTTCTCCCAGTGTCCCTTCCATGGCTTGTTTTCTGAGAAGCCTGAGGCACTCCAGAGGGATCCAAGTTGGTTTCAGGCGACCCGTGGTTCGGCTGACCCATCTCGTGCTAGGGCCTCCGGTCCCAAACCCTCTGTGCCCTCCGCGGATTTCTTCTTTATCCGCTGCTCCTGGAAAAGGGTGGGCCGTATGTTCTCTCTACCGTCGAGGTATTCTAGGAAGCTGAAATGACTGCAGAGAGAAAAGTGTTTGTCATCCCCCAGAAGAGCTGTCTTCAAAGTTACTGGACTCGTAGAAGACAGTTATCACACTTGCTTAGGTGACAAGATGTCTCACACCAAGTAGCTCTCGTTTCTCTTAGATCAACCTAAAAATCCTATTTTCGTGTTTTCAGATAGTTGATTTGACAACTGATTCCAGAATATACAAGAAATCCGTTTAGTACCACAAGTCCTTCGAGCAGTTCTTCGCAAAAGAGGCAGTGTTTGGAAATACTCTAAGGGTTTTTCGTGTCGTAAAGTCCTGTTTGTAAAGACATGATGAAGGAACCCAAGAATAAGGGAAACCGCTTTTTGTCGTGTGTACCCCGTCGCGAGCAATTAATCTGGTGAACACAGAGCTTAATCAGTGAAAACTGAACCATTTAATTTGCAGGCGGATCTGCCATTGGCTCATATTTCAGTTTTTCGGGCCAATATGTGAACAATGTTTGAACCAGAGCGTATAGTATTTGACATCAAAGTTGTATCTTGGCATGTTTATGTTGATGTAGTTGAATTCATTGCAAAAAGAATGTTAATTACATTGACTTCTTAATATAAAAAATAAAAAAAATCACTGTCCAGTGCACAGAATTTGCTTTCAGTTTTAACTGTAAAGCTGAAGAAAGCTGTCCCTCCCCATGGGATTACGTGAAAAGATAGATGTACAGTTGATTTTTCTTTTTTTTTTTCTTTTTTTTCCTTTTTGTCTTTTTTCGTGATCGGCCACGGATCACAACCCTCAGTGTCGCGCCCGTACTGGACCGGGACCGGCTACGGGATC